CAGTGTCGCCTATCATTGCCCATCATTGTTGCATATCATTGCCCATCAGTGCTGCCTATGAGTGCAGCCTCATCAACGCACATCAGTAAAGGAGAAAAATTACTTGTCTGCAAAATTTTATAATAGAAACAAAGAAAAACTTTTTTTTTTTTTTTTTTTTTAATTTTTTTCTTTTTTTTTTTTGTTTATAGTGCAAAAAATACAACACCCAGCAGCTAGTAAATACCACCAAAAGAAAGCACTATTTGTGTGAAAAATGTATAAAAATTTCATATGGGTACAATGTTGCATGACCGCGCAACTGTCACTCAAAGTGCGACAGAGCTCAAAATTGGCCTGGGCAGGAAAGGGGGGTATAAGTGCCCAGTAGGCAAGTGGTTAAAAAAAAAAAAAAAAAAAAGTATTTTCTATGATCGGTAGCTTCATCTAGTGGCAATGCGGTATCTTATTCTTCCACTGTATTGTGTATGACTACATAACATTTGACCTGCAGAGAAAATGGCCAAATAACCTTTGATTTCCCCCGTAGAATAACATTGCTTTCAATGGGCTCAGTTCACGTCAACACAACAAGCTGGGTGAAAACAGGACATGCAACATGCAAAACAAAGTGCAGCGCAATACAAAATAAAAGAATTTGGCTCCTGCTGTAAAAAAAAAAGAAAATTTCACAGCAATGCACTAAAGCATGTCAACGTACGTGATGTGAATTCAACCCAACACATGTGGTGTGATTCCAGCCTAAGGTGCATGCCCGAAGTATAAATGAAGCCTTGAAATGTTTACAGCAGACACAGGGATGGCCCATGTACTTATCAAGGTTTGTCTGTGCTGGTCCAGCCCCCTCCAGCCACTGGTTGGCCATCTGGGAACACCAGCATTGGAGCCATGTGAATATGTAGGATAGGTATACTCAGCCGCAACCAATGGCTTCCATATCTCGTAGAGTCGCAGCACTGCCTAACTCCTGGAATGACCATCTTTCCCTAGTATCCTCAGGGGTGGTCCTTCGGCTTCTGATTCGTTAGTCTAGATTATAATACTGCTGTGTGGCGCATGAGGTGGGCAGGGTAAAGCATCAAGGATGGACAAGGCGGGATGCTGGATTCACACAGGAATGGACTACACTGTCTGAAGTGGCCATACTTCCATTGAGTCTTCAGGGGTGGGTCTTCCATTTTCTGATTCGTTAGCCTCCTAAATATTACTGCAGCTAAGCATCAAGGATGGACATGGTGGGATTCTGTTTCTGTGTGGGAAGGGACCATAGTGCCTGGAATGTCCATCTTTCCCTAGTATCCTCAAGGGTGGTCCTCCGGCTTCTGATGCGTTAGTCTAGATTATAACACTGCAGTGTGGCGCATGAGGTGGGCAGGGTAAAGCATCAAGAATGGACAAGGCAGGATGCTGGATTCACACAGGAATGGACTACACTGTTTAAAGTGGTCATACTTCCCTTGTGTCTTCGGGGGTGGGTCTTCCATCTTCTGATTCGTTAGCCTCCTAAATATTACTGCAGCTAAGCATCAAGGATGGACAAGGTGGGATTCTGGCTCTTTGCGGGAAGGGACCATAGTGCCTGGAATGACCATCTTTCCCTAGTATCCTCAGGGGTGGTCCTCCGGCTTCTGATTCGTTAGCCTCCTAAATATTACTGCAGCTAAGCATCAAGGAAGGACAATGCGTGATTCTGGCTCTGTGTGGGAAGGGACCATAGTGCCTGGAATGACCATCTTTTCCTAGTATCCTCAGGGGTGATCCTCCCAGCTTCCAATTTGTTAGACTAGATCATGTTACTGCAGTGTTGGGCAGGGGGTGGGGGAATTTAAAGTAGAACTAAATCCTCCTATCTTTTACAGCCAAGGGAGCTGCCATCTTGACCTCTGGTATGTAGTTGCCACGGTGCAACATGTATCAGTTATGACGCCAGCCATTTAATGGCTTGACAATTCCATTAAGAGCACAAGCAACTGTGACAGTTTTCAATCACGGCATGCCTTCTTTTGGGAAACTGTTAAATTGATGAATTTCGTTCAGCTTTAAGCATCAAGAATGCACAAGGTGGTAATTCTGGATATGCACAGGAAGAGATTGCAGAGCTGGGAGTGACCGTCCTTTCCTAGTGTCCTCAAGGGTGGTCTTCTGATTTTTTTAGCCGAGATTGCGTTGCTGCAGTGTTGGGCAGGGGGTGGGGTAAGTTAATGATCAAGCATGGACAAGGTGGGATTCCAGCGGGCTTCTGGTTCGTTGGCCAAAATTGTGTTACTGCAGTATTGGGTAGGGGGTGGGTGAAGTTGAGCGTCAAGGATAGACAAATGGGATTCTGGTTTTGCACCGAAAGGGACTAGAGCGCCTGGAGTGATTATCTTTCCTAATGTCCTCAGGGGTGGTCTTTTGATTTGTTCATTTAGATTGTGTTAATGGAGTGTTGGGAAAGGGGGTGGGAAAAGTTAAGTGTCAAGAGTAGACAAGGTGGGATTCTGGCTCCACACAGGAGACCAGGGCATCTGAAGTATCTAGCCTTCTCTAGTGTCCTCGGGGGTGGTCTTCTGACTTCCTATTGGTTAGTCTAGATTGTGTTATTGTAGTTTTGGACAGGGGGTGGAGGAAATTGCGTGTCACGGATGGACAAGGTAGGATTCTGGTTATGCACTGAAAGGAACCACAGCATCTGGAGTGGGCCTCCTTCCCTAGTATCCTCTAGGGTGGTCTTCTGATCTGTTGGTCTAGATTGTGTTATTGCAGTGCTGGGTAGGGAGTAGGGGTAGTTAAATGTCACAGATAGACAAGGCAGGAATCTGGTTCTACACAGGAAGGGACCAGGGGTCCTGGTGTACCTATTCTTCTCTAGTATACTTGGGGGTGGTCTTATGACTTCCTATTGGTTTGCCTAGATTGTGTTACTGCAGTGTTGGGGGGGGGGGGAAATTGCATGTCACGGATGGACAAGGTGGGATTCTGGTTCTGCACAGTAAAGGACCACAGTGCCTGGAGTGGGTCTCCTTCTCTAGTATCCTCAGACGTGGTCTTCTGATCCATTGGCCTGGATTGTGTTACTGCGGTATACGGATGGACAAAATGGGATTCTTGCTCCACATAGGAAGGCACCAGGGCACCTGGAGTACCTATCCTCTAGTGTCCTCGGGGGCGGTCTTCCTATTCATTAGCCTAGATTGTGTTCCTGCACTGTTGGGCAAGGGGTGAAGGAAGTTAAGCATCACACATGGGACAAGGTGGGATTCTGGCTCCGCACAGGAAAGGACTGGGACACCTGGAGTACCTATCCTTCTCTAGTGTCCTCGGGGGCGGTCTTCCATCTTCCTATTCGTTAGCCTAGATTGTGTTCCTGCACTATTGGGCAGGGGGTGGGGGAAGTTAAGTATCACAGATGGACAAGGCGGGATTCTGGCTCCGCACAGGAAGGGACCAGGACACTTGGAGTACCTGTCCTTTTCTAGTGTCCTCGGTGGCGGTCTTCCATCTTCCTATTCGTTAGCCCCTAGATTGTGTTCTGACTCTGTACAGAAAGCGTTCATGGCCCCTGGAGCACAGAGAGCCATCGTACCCCCAGACTACAGAACGTATCTTCATGGAAAGAGGATTTGAAATTCAGAGCTTCAACCAAGCTGTATCTATTGACTGGATATTGATCAGTCATGTAATTTTTTTTAATCGGTCACATGACCTTCGTCTCGGTCATCCTTGTTTTTTCTCCAGCGGATCAGAACTGGTGCCATCAGACTGCATTAAAGATCTCCACGAGATCCTCTGAAGTTTAAGCTTCCTGGGTACCTTTCACGACAACCACGCCTGCTGAGATTCACATTTTACCCCCTGGGCATGGACTGCTGTCCTGTGCAATGGGTCACTACGACGTCAGCTGCAAGGTTTGCATTGTCACCTACTTTTTGAGGGTGTCAGGTAGTTTCCAAAGCAACAGTTGTCTCTGTTTATAGAATTAAGAACCCCCCCAATAAAAAGCAATCTCCTTCATATTATTATCTGGTAACAGTCAGAAAATCCCGTTTTCCAGACCAATACACATCCCTGGCTCTCTGAACAGAACCTCATAACGGAAATAATCTTTGCAAAAAAAAAAAAAAAACCCTGCTAGCGGCCATTTTTGTTGTGGGCAACCGCTAACTATCCACCTATTACAAATAGAACGTAGAAAAAAAACGGATTGTCCTTTACGGTAAAGTTATGAATCCGCTTATGCTACACCCTTGCCGGTGTAAAATGCGGGTGGAAACGTAGAAACCCCCATCGCGAGCGCTTAGGGGCGCCATCTTTACTACTGTCAATGGCAGATTCTTTTTTTCCGCCCAGGAAACGGACTGAAGCGGTAAAGGTGAGGGGAAATGTTATCGAGGCATTGAGAACGCTTGTAGGATTGTAAAACTTCTTCTTTGGAGGCCACGTCCGGCTCTTACATTTGTCTTCGGATGCCCCAACAAGCATGGCCGCGAGACGCCACAGAGCGGAAGTACGCATGTGCGGTCTTGCTTAAGGAAATCTGCGCATGTGCACTGAGTTTCTAGACCGAACTAGCTGCAAAGTAGGGAATACTAGGTGATGTGTGTTTATTAATGATGTAATTGGTCCTCTTGGTGTTTTTTTTTACGTTGATAATCCTGCAGACACGTGATGGTTATTATTTACTCTTTATAATCAATTTTATTTTTCTTAAAGGACCCCTGAAAAATAGCCAGGCTGCCATTGCTGAGCTCCCTGAGAAGATTGGCTGCCCGGATATCGTGCTGATTTGGTGACCGATGCCCCTTGGAAGTCCTGACGCCACCCTGACTTCCCTTGCCGCATGCTTGTTCTGAGTAGGTGGCTCCAGCTTTTTTTTTTTTGTAAGCAGGCGGTCATTGAAAGTCACTCCACGTAGGTAAGCAGACAGTTTCGGTTTGCGCGGGAGGGGAAAACATGAAATAAAAAAAAAAGGAAAGTGGAAAGCTCCTTGTAAATGTCCTTTTTCTTGGTAGGGAGACGCCATGCTGCGCTGCGTGGTGACGGGGTGCCCCAGCAAGGCCAACCGGGCCACCTCTCGCCGGGGCGTCAGGTTTGCACGCCTTCCCCCAAGACCTGGCCCAGATTGAGGCGTGGCTGCGGCTCACCAGGCAGAACTTCGGAGACCTCGACCGGCTGGCCCAGAAGATCTACTCGGACAGGGACGCGGCGGACGGTGTGCGTATGTGCTCTGCCCACTTCACCGAAGACTCTTACGTCACCGACTACCCTACAAAGCTGCTGAGGGTGGACGCCGTGCCCACCGTCTTTCCCAAACGAAGAGCTAAACCTCCATCCCAGGCCGCGAGCGATGAACTGGAGTTGGCGGAAAGCGATTGGCCGCTTCCAAACGAGATGCCCGAGTTGAACGCCACGCAGGAGCCTCTGGTCATAAAGGTGAGTGTGAAATTATTTCTTTTCATTTGGTTAACGTAGTTACGTTTTTTTTTTTCATAATACTGGGTTGCCGCACACCAGCTGCAAGTTATAATTGGACTTGTAGTGGGAGTGGCTACTCTAATTAGCAGGACGTGATGGTAGTCAGGAGAGAAATGGCTCGGAGTGGCAACACCAGTGTGAATGCTCCCTGCTGGTCCGAAAACACGGAGCAAGTTCTGATCAAGGTTGGCACCCTCCAGGGTTTGTAGGAGTCACACTTGAGTCGTCACGTTCCTCTGGTACTCTTCTGTCAGACCAGAGCGTGTAATCGGAGGATCCTCTTCCCCCTGCTTCTGTAATCTGAAGACTCCCTCTTTCACAGGAATGTGGGCATGGTCCAGTGTCATCTGTGTATCAGTAGATACTATAGACCAGACTTTCTCAACCTTTTTACCCCAGAGGAACCCTTGAAATAATTGTCAGGTCTCGGGGAACCTGTAATAAAATAAATTCATTGGGGGTCAGTGGGAGGAGTGTCCCTAACATCGGGGGTCGGTGGGAAGAGTGTCCCTCGCATCGGGGGTCGGTGGGAAGAGTGTCCCTCGCATCGGGGGTCGGTGGGAAGAGTGTCCCTCGCATCGGGGGTCGGTGGGAAGAGTGTCCCTCGCATCGGGGGTCGGTGGGAAGAGTGTCCCTCGCATCGGGGGTCGGTGGGAAGAGTGTCCCTCGCATCGGGGGCCGGTGGGAAGAGTGTCCCTCGCATCGGGGGCCGGTGGGAAGAGTGTCCCTCGCATCGGGGGCCGGTGGGAAGAGTGTCCCTCGCATCGGGGGCCGGTGGGAAGAGTGTCCCTCGCATCGGGGGCCGGTGGGAAGAGTGTCCCTCGCATCGGGGGCCGGTGGGAAGAGTGTCCCTCGCATCGGGGGGTGGGAAGAGTGTCCCTCGCATCGGGGGCCGGTGGGAGGAGTGTCCCTCGCATCGGTGGGAGGAGTGTCCCTCGCATCGGTGGGAGGAGTGTCCCTCGCATCGGTGGAGGAGGAGTGTCCCTCGCATCGGTGGAAAGAATGGCTCCTTACATTGGGGGTCGGTGGGAGGAATGCCCCCTTGCATCAGGGGTCAGTGGGAAGAATGCTCCACCCCTTACATTGTACTGATGAAGCCCTGCCCTCTTACACCAGCTAAGTGGGCAGGGCTTAGAGGTTGGCTCATGGAAGGATTTGGAGACCAGTGAAAGCCCCCACAGCCCTTGCTGACAACACTAGAGGCAGATCCTTCTGCATGGAACCTATAATGAAATATTTCAGTAGTTGCATTGAGCCCTCCATTGTCTGCAGAAGAAGGAATGTGCATAGAGATGATTAAATCCCCCTGCATATTAAAGTGATAGTTGTAGCTGAGGCTGATGGTGGTCTCCGGCCTTGTACAGACTCCTCTCCTGAAATTGCTTGTTCTGATTTTGCTACACACTGTAAGCTTCTCACAATGTGCATTAGAAGATGTACTGCATAGAGAAGCACAGAGACACAGTGATGACATGACTGGATCTAAAAAAATGTAAAAATGTCATTAGTATGTTGATTGGGGGGGGATGGGGTGTAGAGAAGGGACCATGGGAAGCAAAATCTAAGCAAATTAAACTTCAGCTTTAAGATTCAGATAGGAAAGTGCTTACATCCCGGATTCAATTATGCTATGAAGACAGTAAAGGTGTCAGCTAAGCAGTGGCTGTTAATAAAGGAACTACAAGCTGTGATATACGCAGAATGTCATAGCTCTTCCCAACTAGCATGTGTCTTTTTTAATGTTTTCAGAATGGGGTGCCAGAGTCTGCTACCGAGAAGAGAAACCACACCAATGAGAGGATATTAGCTTTGGCCCTGGAGATCATCAGCCTGCTGACTGGAGAGGTGAGGAGGATTCTGGGAGATCACATGACATCACTCCTATCTATTACTAAAACACAGACCTGACCGGAGAGGTGAGGAGGATTCTGGGAGGTCACATGACATCCCTCTTATCTCTATTAGTAAAAAACACAGACCTGACCGGATAGGTGAGGAGGATTCGGGGAGGTCACATGATGTCACTCTTATCTCTAATAATAAAACACAGACCTGACCGGAGAGGTGAGGAGGATTGTGGGAGGTCACATGACAGCATTCTTATCCCTATTAATAAAACACGGACCTAACCGGAGAGGTGAGGATGATTCTGGGAGGTCACATGACATCACTCTCATCTCTGTTAATAAAACACAGACCTGACCGGAGAGGTGAGGAGGATTCTGGGAGGTCCTATCCCTTGTCTTTTCCTGCACTGCAAGGGTTAACTGCTCATTTGTGTCTAGATGGGTGGAAAAGCAGTTTTACTTACCCGATCCTTCACTTCCCTGGCATATGGCGCTTCCCCATTCTCGCGGTGGACTTTTACTCAGAATCCTCAAGTCCAGTGCAGAGCTATGGTCCCTGCATTGGTGTTGATGTCTAAGGATCTTCGATCGCCATAGCATAAGGGGGAGGAGCCTGTGGGGACTGGTTCAGCAGTGTGGAGGATCAGGTAAATATAACTGCTTTACTAAGTCCCCTAGGCATCAACAAACAGGTAACCTCTGTGGTGAGGGCGCACCCTGCTGTAAGGGAGGATTTTTAGGCTTCCTGGAGTTCAGCTTCATGAAATCATAGACCTGATTGTAGGGGTGAGCGGCATTCTGGGAAATGTTTCCTGTGAGATATTTCTTGTGTCTTATGGAATAGAGTTATGGACGCATAAAAAAGCCTGGTCGTCCTCCACCTCACTCCCTGACCCCCGAGGCAAACATCAAGAAGAAGATCCTGCAAGTCACCCAGAAGATGATGGATCTGCTGACAGGAGAGGTGAGCGGTGTCGGGAATTCTGGGACATTCTCCAGTAACAGACAAGGGATGTGTCTGGATGGTGACTGTATCATTGTGTGTCTCAGGTTCCTATAAGGTGTCAGGATGTCACTGTCTATTTCTCCATGGAGGAATGGGAGTATCTAGAAGGACACAAGGATCTCTACAAGGACGTCATGATGGAGGATCAGCCGCCCCTCACATCACCGGGTAAGAGGAGACTTTCATTTCTTGTAAAGGAGGAAAGAGTATTTAGGATCCACCTAGATCCTCCATCATCTGATTAGGGATGAGCTCATGTGAGTTCTGATCCTTTTCCAAACCAACGTAGCCAAGCCCATCAAGAAGCCGTTACCTATACTGATCCATGCATCTGTGGTTGGGGCATTCTCCTTCAAGTTGGGAAATGCCTCAGTCCTTTATGAGAAGCCCAGTACCAGTGACAACTTCCCAGTGGGCTCAATCAGGTGAGTTCTGATCCTTGTCCAAACCAACGTAGCCAAGCCCATCAAGAAGCCGTCACCTGTACTGGTCCAAGCATCTTTGGTTGGGGCATTCTCCTTCAAGTCAGGGGAATGCCTTAGGCATTTATTAGAAGCACAATACAGGTGACAGCTTCCCAATGGGCTCAGTCAGGTGAGTTCTGATCCTTGTCCAATCCAACGTAGCCAAGCTCATCAAGAAGCCGTCACCTGTACAGGTCCAAGCTTCTGTGGTTGGGGCATTCTTCTTCGAGTCTGGGAATGCCTCAGTCGTTTATGAGAAGCCCAATACAGGTGACAGCTTCCCAATGGGCTCAGTCAGGTGAGTTCAGACAAGGATCTGAACATGCTCATCCCTACCTCTGATATAAAGACATAGAAACAATGTATCAGTTAGTGTGTGTGTTTCCTACAGATGGATCCAGTAATGGGAACCCACCAGAGAGATGTCCTCTGTATTCCTGGGATTCCATACAGGAAGGTCACACCACCCCTCACCATCATCAGGTAGGTGGATCCAGTAATGGGAACCCACCAGAGAGATGTCCCTGTCCTCTGTATTCCCGGGATTCCCTACAGGAATATCAGGAGATCCCTCAGGAGGATCAGGTAGGTGGAGCAAAGTGTTGTAAGAATGTATACCTGGCCGCTCCCTGTAGAAGCAGGAAATCACTGTAGTAGCTCCATTGGTCTTCTCTGTCCTCTGGACCCCATACACAGCGGCTGCTCTGCTTCACAGTAACCACAATGGTGCACAGAATGCTTTGCATTTTCTCACTGAATACAAAGGGGGGGAAGATTTACTAAAGCTGGAGCACTCAGAATCCGGTGCAGCTGCGCATGATAGCCAATCGGCTTCTACCTTCAGCTTGATCAATTAAGCGTCCGCAATAAAACCTAGAAGCTGATTGGTTCCTTTGCAGAGTTCGTCAGATTTTGCAGCTTTGGTAAATCGCCCCCGAAGTGTGTTCTGATTGAATGAAATGGGGCAGTGACCTCAGGATCCCCAAATCAGCCAATCAGCAGGGCTTTTTGTTTCTCAGAAAATAGGTTCAGGAACTCCCTCCTTCTGAGCCACTTCTTGTCTATGCCCCCACCCCCGACCTTCGAGCAATCCTTTGGCTCCGCCCCTTACCAACCTCCTAGTACTGCTCCTAATAGAGAATACAGAGTCAAGTATCATTTTTGTGGCGTTAAGTAAGTTGTATGGAATTTAATGATCACAAAAAAAGCAACCCCCCCCCCCCCCAGCAACAATGGACCCCCACAACAAAATAACACCCCACCAACAATAGACCCCCAGCAGCAACAACAGATCGCTCAGCAGCCAGCATCAATAGACTCTCCAGCAACAATAGACCCCTCCCTCAACAATTGGCCCCGAGCAATAATGGCCCCCCACAACAAAATACCATCCCAGCAGCAACAGCAGATCTCCCAGCAGCCAGCATCAATAGACTCTCCAGCAACATTAGAGCCCTCCCTCAACAATGGACCCCCACAACAAAATACCACCCCAGCAGCCATAGACCCCCAGCAGCAACAACAGTTTTCCCAGCAGCCAGCGTCAATAGACTCTCCAGCAGCCAGCAACAATAGAAAATTGACCCCCAGCAACAATGGCCCCCCACAACAAAATACCACCCCAGCAACAATATACCCCCAGCAGCAACAACAGATCTCCCAGTAGCCAGCATCAATAGACTCTCCAGCAACAATAGACACCTCCCTCAACAATTGCCCTCCAGCAACAATGAACCCCCACAACAAAATACCACCCCAGCAACAATAGACCCCTCCCTCAAAAAAGTGACCCCCAGGAACAATGGACCCCCACAACAAAATACCACCCCACCAACAATAGACCCCTCCCTCAAAAAAGTGACCCCCCCCCCAGCAACAATGGACCCCCACAACAAAATACCACCCCACCAACAATAGACCCCTCCCTCAAAAAGTGACCCCCAGCAACAATGGACCCCCACAACAAAATACCACGCCAGCAACAATAGACCCCAAGCAGCAACAACAGACTCTCCAGCAGCCAGCAACAATGGGCTACTCCCTCAACAGTAGATCCACACAAAAATAGATCCCCCAGCAGAACAGACCTTCCAGCACACCCCAGCACCCCTTTCCATTATATACATTCAGTTCCTGCGTTCCCCCGCCCTGCCAATCAGAGAACGCCTTTTATCTCTTGAGAACAATACAAGGTGTTCTCTGAATGGAACCCCTGCAGGTGACCTCCTGCGGTTACTATGCAGCAAGGGCGTTCTCTGTTTTTTACACCGGGATCTGCTAGACTTACATCGGTCCAAGCCAGACCTGGAATCCATCTTTAATTGTGAAATGTGTTCTCCAGGGTGACGGCCTGATTGCTGGTAAAGCTGAAGTGACCGAGGAAGCAGAGGAATCCTATGTGAAGGATGATGAGCTGTGCATGGAGGTGGAAATCCCTCCAGATATCGGCATGGGTGAGCAAATCCACACCGGCACCAGTCGCAGATTCTCTTGTTCCTAGGAGCTGCTTTGTTCTTCCATTCACCAATCCAATCATTTAGGAAGTGGGATCATTTTGCTGATGTTGGTGTATTTCCCTGCAGATGGATCCATCATCACCCCTCAGAGATGCTCCTTCCCTGTGTATCCTGAGGACTTCACAGAGGAACATCACCAGATCCCCCAGGATGATCAGGTAGATGGAGCCGAGCCGCTCATCGCACAATAATACATTTTAAAAAAATACCTGTCGACTGATTCTCCTCCACCCTCCAGCAGAACTACTAGCCTCCACCCTACAGCAGAACTACTAGCCTCCACCCTACAGCAGAACTACTAGCCTCCACCCTACAGCAGAACTACTAGCCTCCACCCTACAGCAGAACTACTAGCCTCCACCCTACAGCAGAACTACTAGCCTCCACCCTACAGCAGAACTACTAGCCTCCACCCTACAGTAGAACTACTAGCCTCCACCCTGCAGCAGAACTACTAGCCTTCACCCTACAGCAGAACTACTACAGGGCGGCACAGAATCATGTGTGTGTGTGTATACGTGATTTTGCATTCCCAGGTAGGGGTCACCCTACCCACGCTGCCCTACCCATATGGGATAAAAATATATTTGAAATATATTTAAAAATATTCTTCCCAAATATATTGACGTATATTTGAAATGCTACAATTTTGGCCGTATTCAATATATTTCAATATAAAATAAAAAGTGTGTGTGTGTGTATGTGTATATATATATATATATATGTGTGTGTGTGTGTGTATGTGTATATATATATGTGTGTGTGTGTGTGTGTGTATATATATGTATGTGTGTATGTTGTATATATATGTGTGTGTGTGTGTATATATGTATGTATGTATGTATATGTATATATATATATATATATATATATATATATATATATATATATATATATATGTACAGTTGCAAGAAAAAGTATGTGAACCCCTTGGGATTACGTGGAGTTTTGCATGAATTGGGCATAAAATGTGCTCTGAACGTCATCTAAGTCACAACAATAGAAGAACACAGTCTGCTGAACATAATACTACACAAACAAATGTTGCCATGGTTTAATTGCACATAACATGTAAACATTCACAGTGCAGGGAGGGAAAAGTATGTGAACGTTTGGACTTAATAACTGGTTGACCCTCCTTTGGCAGCAATAACCTCAACCAAACGTTTCCTGTAGTTGCAGATCAGACCTGCACAACGATCTGGAGTAATTTTGGACCACTCCTCTTCACAAAACTGTTTCAGTGTAGCAATATTCTTGGGATGTCTGGTGTGAATCGCTCTCTGAAATGCTGTGGCATGACCTTAAGAGAGCGATTCACACCAGACATCCCAAGAATATTGCTACACTGAAACAGTTTTGTGAAGAGGAGTGGTCCAAAATTACTCCAGATCGTCAACCAGTTATTAAGTCCAAAGGTTCACATACTTTTTCCTCCCTGCACTGTGAATGTTTACATGTTATGTGCAATTAAACCATGGCAATATTTAATGTTTGTAGTAGTATTATGTTCAGCAGACTGTGTTCTTCTATTGTTGTGACTTAGATGACGTTCAGAGCACATTTTATGCCCAATTCATGCAAAACTCCACGTAATCCCAAGGGGTTCACATACGTGTGCGTGCGCGCGCGTGCATGTGTAGAGATGTATGTAGAGATGTATGTATTATGTTGAAATTTGTGGGTTTTTTTTTTATTACACAATATATGAAAATAAAAAACACACATTTCAACATAATAAATAAATAATATATATATATATATATATATATATATATATATATATATATATTATGTTGAAATGTGTTTTTTTTTTATTACACAATATATAAAAACAATTTTTAGAAATACTTTTTAAATATACTGTATGTCTTAAAAATACAAATCTACATCTTTGGAATGCATTTACAAATATAAGAAAAAAGTAATTTTAACATATTTGTAAATGCATTCCAAAGATGTAGATTTGTATTTTTAGAAGACACACAGTATATTTAAAATGTATTTCTAAAAATTGTTTTTATATATTGTGTAATAAAAAAAAACACATTTCAACATAATATATACAGTTGCAAGAAAAAGTATGTGAACCCCTTGGGATTACGTGGAGTTTTGCATGAATTGGGCATAAAATGTGCTCTGAACGTCATCTAAGTCACAACAATAGAAGAACACAGTCTGCTGAACATAATACTACACAAACATTAGATGTTGCCATGGTTTAATTGCACATAACATGTAAACATTCACAGTGCAGGGAGGAAAAAGTATGTGAGGCCCTAGCTTAATGACTTCTCCCAGAGCTAATTGGAGCCAAGAATGAGCCAACCTTGACTCCAGTCAGTGTGATGATATTGGATGTGTTGCTGACAGCTGTCCTGCCCTTGAAAAACACACACCTGTTTTGGGTTTACTGGTTTCAAGAAGCACTGTGTGATGTGAACCATGCCTCACAGAAAAGAGCTCTCAGAAGACCTACGATCAATTGTTGACTTGCATGAAGCTGAAAAGGGTTACAAAAGTATCTCCAAAAGCCTTGATGTTCATGTGTCCACGGTAAGACAGACTGTCTACAAATGGAGAAAGTTTAGCACTGTTGCTACTCTCCCTAGGCGTGGTCGTCCTGTAAAAATGACTGCAAGAGCACAGCGCAGAATGCTGCATGAGGTAAAGAAGAATCCCAGAGTGTCAGCTAAAGACCTACAGAAATCTCTGGCACATGCTAACATTTTTGTTGACACATCTACAATAAGGAAAACATTAAACAAGAATGGAGTACATGGGAGGACACCACGGAGGAAGCCATTGCAGTCCAAAAAGAATATTGCAGCACGTTTGAAGTTTGCAAAAGAGCACCTGGATGTTCCACAGCACTACTGGCAAAATATACTGTGGACAGATGAAACCAAGATTGAGTTGTTTGGGAAGAACACACAACACTATGTTTGGAGAAAAAAAGGCACAGCACACCAACATCAAAACCTCATCCCCACTGTAAAACGTGGCAGAGGGAGCATAATGTTTGGGGCTGCTTTGCTGCCTCAGGGCCTGGACAGATTGTTGTCATTGATGGGAAAATGAATTCCAGAGTTTATCAAGACATTTTGCAGGAAAATGTACGACCATCTGTCCGCCAACTGAAGCTCCGCAGAGGATGGGTGATGCAACAGGACAATGACCCAAAGCATACAAGTAATTCAACAAAACAATGGCTGCAACAGCACAGAATACGCCTTCTGGAGTGGCCCAGTCAGAGTCCTGACCTCAAGCCGATTGAAATGCTGTGGCATGACCTTAAGAGAGCGATTCACACCAGACATCCCAAGAATATTGCTACACTGAAACAGTTTTGTGAAGAGGAGTGGTCCAAAATTACTCCAGATTGTTGTGCAGGTCTGATCTGCAACTACAGGAAACGTTTGGTTGAGGTTATTGCTGCCAAAGGAGAGTCAACCAGTTATTAAGTCCAAAGGTTCACATACTTTTTCCTCCCTGCACTGTAAATGTTTACATGTTATGTGCAATTAAACCATGGCAACATCTAATGTTTGTGTAGTATTATGTTCAGCAGACTGTGTTCTTCTATTGTTGTGACTTAGATGACGTTCAGAGCACATTTTATGCCAAATTCATGCAAAACTCCACATAATCCCAAGGGGTTCACATACTTTTTCTTGCAACTGTATATATATATATATATATATATATATATATATATATATTATGTTGAAATGTGTGTTTTTTATTTTTATTTCTTTATTACACAATATATGAAAAAATTTTTTAGAAATACATTTTAAATACACTGCGTGTCTTTTAAAAATACAAATCTACATTTTTGGATTGCACTTACAAATATATGTTAAAATGACTTTTTTTTTTTTTTCTGTCACACTTTGAATAACAATTGCGCGGTCATGCAACACTGTACCCATATAAATTTTTTTACCATTTTTTTGAGACAGATAAAACTTTATTTTGGTGGTATTTATTCACTGCTGGGATTTTTTATTTTTGTTTGCTATATAAATGAAAAAGTCCAGAAAATTTTTGAAAAGTATTTTTCCTATAAACTTTTGCAAATAAATAATTTTACTTCATAAAATCTCGGCCAAAATTTTTCAGTTATCTTTTTTGGTAAAAAAAAAAAAATAACCCAATTTTATTTTTTTATATTCTTATTTGTTTTTTTTGTTTTTAACATTCTGTCACCCTAGCAGTACAGTGTCACCATAGTAACACTGTATTACTTGCGGGGGGTGATGAAGATTTTTGTTTTTGTTTTTTTTTACACTGATTGCTTTTACACCCATAAAGGCTGTAAAAAGCAATAATTTCTCCTTCTCTCTGGCTGCATTCCTGCAGACATTGAGAACTACTGTGTGAGCTGTGATTGGTCACAGCTTGTCACATGGTACAAGGCTGTTGTGAATGGCCCTGTACCGTGTGATCTCTGTGATCATTCACAGATTTCACACGTAGTAAGCAATGATATCAGAAGTGACATCTTGCTTACTACTCTTCATGTGATCACTGATTGGCCAAACAGTGATCACATGATCATCCAGGGAGGAGGAGGAACTCTGTAGTCCTAACCCACCTTTTCTAGGATAATGAAGATTCTCCTCCCAAAAGGTTCAGTGTAGCAAGTGTTGTCACCCGGGGACAGGAAGTATGTAACTAAACAGGATCACCGGGAGAAAATAAAGCCTGAAACGCGTTGTCACTGTATTTGTTTAGGATGGAAATCTGATCACTAATGAAGCTGAAGAAGCAGAAGATCCGTATGTGATGGATGAGGATCGGTTGAAGGAGGAGATCGGCACAGGTGAGGAATAAACCGTCAATCCAGATCCTCCTCGTTCAGTCACTACAACCATCTCTTCTTCTCCCGTCTCCTCTGTAATGGGGGGACAGTATGGGCCCAGTGGGTGGGGTCAGGAGCCATCAGCCTCTTAGACTCCGCCTCTCCTCCTCACATCATACCAGTCTCCTCCAACACATACTCTCTGGAGTCTCTCACTACAGGGGGCTTCACTCTCCTCTTTTTTTCACAGACCCCGGAGACACTCAGAGAAACGTTGGGGAGGAGGAAGAAGGACGTGCGAGGATTAAAGAGGAGGAAGTTCCTATAGAGATCACCCCAGGTGAGGAATAAGCACGAAATCCAGAGGAGATTTATCTTTTTTTTTTTTTTAGGACATTTTGCGTCTTTGTTCTTCTAGATTTAAAGGATACGTTCACCTTTTGGATCCGGGTACATGTCACCCGTGTATAGGGTGACACATGTAACCTGTTCCAGCTTCATCCCCCCCCCCGTGACCACAGGCAGAGGGATCTACACCCTGTTGTGTGGGGCTCTTCCCAAAACGAAATTTGTTCAGAGTTCTGTAAATGAGTGGAACTACAAGTACCATCGGCCACCGCAGCCAGCGGCTTGTAGTTCTTAACCCGTTGGCGCAGGCGCCTCCCGGCCCTTTAGGGGTTTCAGAAGCCGGGGCAGGGTTTTAAGGTCATGTGACCGCCGTGATTCGCCGTCACATGATCGGGAAAGGTCCCGATCGAAAGAGGAGATCGGGACCTTTCCGTGAGTACCGGATATCTGCGCTGGGGTGCTCGCAGAACATGTTTTTTCTTAATTGCACACAAATGTGCAGCCGCTCGGCGTCAGGGCCCAGATGCCGGGAGGCCGCACATTTTGGGTGCGGCGGCTGGCGCGAAGAGGTTAATGAAGTACAAGGGTGCTGGTAAGGGCTCTTGTAGTTTTGATTCCTCCTGCAATTCAGTAACTACCTGTACGAGGTACTGGCAAACAGCTGTACTGAGTGTCTGCAGGATCCTGGCATTGCACCCACGATTACAGGCTGCAGAGTAAAAAAAAAAAAATAATAAATGCCCCCCCTTCTTTTTTTTTTTTTTTTCCCTGCAGAAAAATATTTTTTTTAATAAATTTTATATATTTTTTTTTTTTTTACACAGATCAAGCTTTTTTTGGTGTTGTTTTGATCATTACTGATTTTTATTTTTTATTAGAAGATGTGCATTAATTATTATTTCATTTTTTATTAGAAGATGTGCAGTAATTTATTGTTTTTTATTTTTTTATTGGAAGATGTGCATTAATTATTTTATTAGAAGATGTGCAGTAATTTTTATTTTTTAATAAAAGGTGAACTTATCCTTTTTATCATTTGAGCTCCGGTAGATTTTACCCCCTTCATGAGTGGGGCTTTTTTTTTTTTGCTGTTCAGCACTGCACTACTTTAACTGGAAATTGCTCGGACATACAACACTGAAAATTATGTAAATTTAATTTGGGTACACACATATCAAGCTTTTTTTTTTGGTGGTATTTGATCATCACTGGGCTTTTTATTACAAGATGTGCATTCATTATTATATTATTTTTTATTACAAGATGTGCATTCATTATTATTTAATTTAATTATTTTTTTAATAAAAGGTGAACCTATTCTTTTATCAATTGAGCTCCGGAAGATTTTACCCCCTTCATCACCAGGGCATTTTTTTTTTGCTGTTCAGCACTGTACTACTTTAACTGCAAATTGCTCGGTCATACAACACTGTACCCAAAGTAAATTTATTTAATTTTTCTTTTCACACAGATCAAGCTTTTTTTGGTGGTATTTGATCATCACTGGGCTTTTTATTACAAGATGTGCATTCATTATTATTTTTTTATTACAAGATGGCATTTAATTTTATTTTTTTTAGAAGATGTGCATTAATTTTATTTTTTAATAAAAGGTGAACTTATCCTTTTTATTACTTGAGCTCCAGTAGATTTTACCCCCAGGGCTTTTTTTTTTTTTTGGCTGTTTAGCCCTGTACTACTTTAACTGGCAATTACTTGGTCAGCAACACTGTACCCAAATTAAATTCATAAAAAAAAATTTTTTTTCACACAGATCAAGCTTTTTTTTGGTGGTGTTTGATCATCACTGGGCTTTTTATTACAAGATGTGCATTCATTTTATTTTTTATCAGAGAGGTGCATTCATTATTATATTATTTTTTAGTAAAAGGTGAACTTATCCTTTTTTATAATTTGAGCTTCGGTAGATTTTACCCCGTTCATGACCGGGGCTTTTTTTTTGCTGTTCAGCATTGTACTACTTTAACTGGCAATTGCTCGGTCATACAACACTGTACCCAAATTAAATTTTATATAATTTCTTTTTCACACAGCTCAAGCTTTTTTTTGGTGGTATTTGATCATCACTGGGATTTTTATAACAAGATGTGCAGCATTATTTATTTTTTATTAGAAGATGTGCATTAATTTATTATTTTATTTATTTTTTAATAAAAGGTGAACTTATCCTTTTTATCATTTGAGCTCTGATAGATTTTACTACCTTCCTGACCAGTGCGGTTTTTTTTTTTTCGCTGTTCAGCACTGTACTACTTTAACTGGCAATTGCTCGGTCATACAAACTGTACCCAAATTCGATTTATATACTTTTTTTTCACACAAATCAAGCTTTTTTTGGTGGTGTTTTGATCATCACTGGGCTTTTTATTTTTTATTATATAATTAAAAAAAATTTAAATTTTAGAAAAAAAAATCAAAACTATTCTCTACTTTCTGTTAAAAATCATATCCATTAAAAAAAAATCTGATTTCTTCATAAATTTAGGGTGATATATTCTGCTACATGTCTTTGGTTGGTTAAAGAAAAAATATCCCTAGCAAAAATAGAACAAATCCTTCTGCACATAGGCGAGATAAATCGGGGTGAAAAGCTTGATGTGCCAGTATCCCCACTCCAGGGAAATGTAAGGCCTTGCTGTCCTCTATGACCGAGGGAGTCCAGCAAAACTTCTAAATATTAAAAGAATGAGGGCGCACCTGCCTAGTGCATTATCCTCGGGTGGGATGGGGGAGGGTATTACTGGTATTAAAAGCTAAAAAACATACTTGCAAACGTATGATATCAGGCATGTAAAGCCACCACCCCGGGGCACAGTGATTTGTAAAGACCCAACAGAGACCAACGCCAGGAAAGTGCCGCCTGGGATCCAAAAGCGGCTTAGGCATTTCGAGGGAACTCCCTCTTCATCAGAGCCACAATAACAGATTAAAAAAAAAAAACAAACAAACCAATAAGTGTATATTAAAAAAATCTAATAATAATAATAAAAAAGTAAACATAAAAAATATATAAATACATTTAAAAAATAGTGTGTATGTGTGTGTGTGTGTGTGTGTGTATGTGTATATATATATATATATATATATATATATATATATATATATATAAATATTTCACACACACAGTAAGAGATTATAAAAAAAAAATCCCAATAAGTGTATAATAGATAAAATTAAAATAATAATAAAAAATATATAAGTGTGTGTGTGGTAAAACAACAAGATGAGTGAGCGCTAAAGCCAAATGGTAAAATTGAAATAAAACCAGCAGCTGAACACCAAAAGGCACCATATAAAACCTTCAAAATAATCAAATAAAGCAGGGTGCAGCGCTAAAATAGTCTGTTAAATCTCACTATGTTCAAATACTCTCATGTATGGTATAAATTGCAATACAATAAAAATCACATAAAATAGGTGACAAAGTGCAGATAAAAGTGTCACTAAATAGTGACTGGTAATGTGAATAGGTGTTACACTAAAACAAATACAGTCCATAGTGTAAGTGCAAAGGGGATCCCAGATGATCTTCAGAAATCCAGTGGCTGGATCCATGGATGAGGTGATATAGTATGTAATGATTGCGCACTCACCAGATACGCAATCAAAATGCGCATTTAAAGTTGGTAACCACAGGACATCAAGGATCCTATATGGGTCTGGTCAGATACCACTCTGCTTGGTAGTGCTGCCACACTTGGAAAGAACTGCTCTGTGGATGTGGATGGCTCCCAAAGGAGCTCAAAAAACAGAGGAGGCCAAATAGTGTAGTATCCTTAGGATAAGGAGTGTATATTCCAAGTAAATATACAATAAAGAGAAGTACTGACCATATGTATATGTAAGATGGCCGCCGGGGCCCTCGTTGCACCAGTCGGCGTGACGTCACAGAGCTGTAGCCCCTCCCTAACGCATTTCGTGCGATGGCACGTAGTCATAGGGGGTATATATATGTGTGTGTGTGTGTGTACACAGTGGGGCAAAAAAGTATTTAGTCAGCCACCAATTGTGCAAGTTCTCCCACTTAAAAAGATGAGAGAGACCTGTAATTGGCATCATAGGTAGACCTCAACTATGAGAGACAAAATGAGAAAAAAAATGTGTGTGTGTGTGTGTGTGTGTATATATATTTTACACACACAATAAGAGATTAAAAAAATCCCAATAAGTGTATATTAAATAAAATTAAAATAAAGTAATAATAAAAAAATATATAAATTCATTTAAAAAAAATAATTATATATAATTTTTTTTTTTCTTAAACGTCTTAAAGGGCCTTGAGGGGGTTAAAATCGCACATGTTTAAGAAAATCCCTAATTATGATGATGTGATCAGTGGTGCGCTTTTTTGTTTTTTTCTTCTACAGAGGGATCCAGAAACACTCAAGAGGGATGTCCCCGTCTTCTGTATTCCCAGGATTCCACACAGGAGCATCATGAGATCCATCCAGGTGATCAGGTAGATTTCCCATGTTTACTGTTGTACAATATAATTGAATATACAGGCAGTCCCCGAGTTAAGTACATTCGGCTTACGTAATACTCATACTTACGTACACTTCCCTCGGGACCGGAAGTCAAGCTGTCAGCATTCTTGTGCAGCAAGCTGATAAGAGACTAGCTGATAAGAGACATCAGAGAGACATAAGAGACAGAGACATCCATTGCTCGTTACTTGTGGGGCTAGCAGTGTCTGCCCACTATCTCCAAAGTGTTTTAAGACTGTCTGTCTGCACCTCCGGGGAGAGGAAAGGAGAGGCTGTCAGGCTGCTCACTGAAGTGATCCTCCGTCTGTGCAGGGGGGAGGGGGCAGCGTGTGCTGTGTAAAGGAGAGCAGAGTTCTCTCATACAGTACATTACAGACACTGTTGCTGCCCAATCTCTCCAACATGCCATCCTCTGCCAAGATAGTTTAAAGTTGTACTCTAGCACTGTACAAGAGTTT